CTAGAATTATATTTTGGACCACTTGAACTCTAATTTCAATGAATTTATTATCGTTGTGAATGTATCGATTAGACAAACCCATCAAAACTACAAACCATTTCTTGGAGATCTCTGCCATATAATTTTCTACTTACCATTAATACAAGAGTCCAATCCAATGTTGATCTTATTTATAAGTAGAAGCTCACATAGCTCACCTTGATCTGTTGGTTAGGAGCTTAGACTATCAACTAAGAGGTCTTGGATTCGAGCCTTGTATATGCGATGTGCGTATGAATTTGCCTTAAGTGGGCATAAATATCCAAAAAAAAAAAAATAGAAGCTCAATTAATCTTTGATGAGCCTATTAATGCTCATTGAAAGTAATTAAAACAATCCTCCAATATATGTCAAAATTTACAACAAATATTTAATCTACCTCCCCAACAAAAAAAACATGGGCATTCAATAAGGCTAAAGACAGCATTCTCACTAAATTAAACTTGGGATACCTAATTACACCCCCGCTCCACTAAATATATACAAAGCTAATATTTTGATGAAGATCCAAAATTTTGACTCATTAGTCTCCTCCCCTCATGCTGAAGAAAATCAATCATTAAGATCTACTCAATCGCATTGCCCCATTGCGTTATCCCCAACAAGGTGAACTAACATTACAGCATTGGAAACAACAACTAAAGGAACATTAACCAAAGGACTCCCAACACCATCAATATCCTCCCCATAACTCACATCATCGGAATAACACAGTCCATCCGAAATTTGAGCACCCCTTGAACCATGAAAAGAGCACGAATTCCCACCCTCATGTAAATCACCATGATGATCCCCATAAACATTAGACAGAGCATTATCACCCTCTTTAACAACACCAATAGGATCAGAAATTTCACTAGGACAAGCTACCATATTAGTTAAGCAATTGTTAGGTTCATCAATCTCAACACAATAAGATCAGGTGCCACATCCTCCTCAACATTCAAGGGAGAAATCGAAGCCAATACAATAGAGAATCCAACTTCAGCGCTAAAACCTTGGTCTTAACAGACACAACATAACTCAAATCCAAAGCTAATTCATTCACACCATAATCCTCACAAACAAGGACAACAGGGGCCATAACCGCAGGAACAGACGAAACATCTATAGCACCAGAAAGCACACCCACGACTTCCCCACCCCATATTAGTTAAGCAATTGTTAGGAAATTGTTTGGTAACATCAAGTTCTACAAAAACACGAGCAACGGATGGTCATGAACCAGAAGAAGTCGCACTATGAATCTTTAAGGGTTTACCAAAGATGGAGCCAAGATCATGAAGAATACACGGAGCAAAGGGCGAGGCCAAAGATTATGAAAAGAAATTCAAATAGGGATGATAGAAGATTCAACCTCAATGTCCAAGGAGGGAGTCCATTTAACCAATTTCATATAACAATTACTCACAAAATATGACCTATGAGCAAAAATCCTACAGTAATCCATGTCGTTAAAGAGCTTAATTAAATATTCCATTGGTTTAGGATAGTGACATAACATTCACCATTTAAGTTAAGGTCGAAGAAAATTTTCCGAATAGCATCAAGAGATAGTCTCCATCCAAAGAATTTGCCGACTAGGGCGAATTCAAATGGAGCAGCAAGAGAAAGGATTTTCGCTTCCGAAATCCACAAGGCCAACATACCACGGTGGGAGGGAACTTTAAGATCGGGAAAGGAGACGAAAGTAGAAGATGCGTCAGATAAAGCATCCTTAAAAGAAAGAGATGCACCGAAGCGACACGGGATGGGGCGAAGTGACGGGAAGGTGGCGGGCGAAGCGACGCGGTCAAGCCATGAAGCACAGCGGGGGGTAGGGCAGCTCGGTCAGTGGGTTATTTTCGGGTTTTTAGGTCAACCCGAACCCGATTCAGTTCAGGTTCTAGTTGGCCCGAACTCAAAATTTCCGTGTCGAATTCAAGTCAAATTTTCGGGTCGTGTCAAATATTGACACCCCTACTTAAAACAGGGAGGTGCCATAAATCCGAAAAAGACAACAACAACCAACACATGAAACGGAAAAGGAACTAGGGAAGGAAGAAAACTTCTCTAAAGCAGACGATGGAGCTCTACTAGGGAGAGCTCCCAATACGGAGGAAATCAACGCTTATAGGTGCAAGATCGGACTGTAAGAGGCGGCTAGGGCCACGCCCCAGAGGCATCGGGAGAGAGACAGCTACGGAAATGCAATGTTTTTATTCTTATTAAGTAATGAGATTACCTATTTCTTAGCCAACTAAAATAACGTAGGATTGTGATTAGGGCTACTAATTATATGGCTAGTTATCCAAATTTAAAGAATAGCTTTCTTCTAATGGAAGTGGAATCATAAATATAGGAGTTGGAGTCACAAATTTGGGCTTTGTTTGGGACAATTACTTAAAAAATTTAGGGACTATAATTGCAAATGCGATTGATGTTTTTGACATTCTTTTGAAGAACAAATTTTAAAAAAAAAATAATCAATATTAATCCTTTTGAATAGTTTTGATAAGAAATAATAATTATGAGCCTTGCATATGTGGCAAACAAATTCATGGCCTCTTGTATTTCTTTTTTGGTTTAATAGAATTTTGGTTTTGAAAAAAAAAAAGTGGATGTGGAATCATAACTATAGGAGTTGGAGTCACACATTTAGGCTTCGTTTGGGACAATTACTTAAAAAAACTTGGGACTATAATTGCAAATGCGATTGATGTTTTTGACATTCTTTTGAAGAACAAATTAAAAAAATAAATCAATATTAATCCTTTTGATAAAAAAATACTAATTATGAGCCTTGCATATGTGACAAACAAATTAATAGACCATTTAAATTGATCATCATCAAACTCAAGATTTTATGTTATTTTTGTGAATGGTTTGTCAAGGTTTAGATTGAAAGTATTTCTTGAAGGAAAAGTGATGTGAATTTGATGTCTTTCTTTAATTAAATTTCACTTATTTTTATTTTTCAATCAAAGAATAGATTGTTATGCGTTGGAGAAAATGCCTAACAATGTTCATAAAATTTCACTTCGAGATTGACCTCCTTCATAAAGAATCATGGACTGCTTTTCTACCGTTTTTTAAAATGAATTTTTAGTATGAAATTTTATTAAACAAAAAAATTTTGTATTAAAAATTTGTTTCAGAAAGCTGTAAGAAAGCCGTGCCAAACTAAGGCTTCGTTTGGGACAGCTTTTTTATTGTTTTCTAAAACGGAGTTTTAGTACAAAATTTTTTAATTTTGTACTAAAACTCCGTTTTAGAAAACAATAAAAAAACCGCCCCAAACGAAGCCTAGGACAACTTTTGTGCTGTTTTCTAAAACATTTTTTTATTACAAAAATTTTTAAAAAAAATTTATGAATTAAAAATTTTTGTACTAAAAAACTGCTTTAAAAATAATAAAAAAATTGTCC